TAAATAAATCTTTTAAAAAAAATCTTCCAGACACCTCTCCAAAGAGACCACAGAGAGGAGATCCAGGAAAGAAAATTACCACAAGCAGTGGCCCATGTGGCACAGTGGTCCAGCTAAGTGCTATCAGGTTTAAGTGGTTGTCCAAGGAAACCATGGAGCAAGGGTTCCCTTAGAAGGCAAGCAGTGGACACTGTAGAATATCAAGAATAGAAATAAGCAGGAATGGGCTGGGGAGATGGCTCAGTGGAATAAGTGCTTCCCTGGCAAGTGCAAGGGTCTGAGTTCACACCCCGGGTCCATGAAAAAAAAAAAAAAAGAAAAAGAAAAAAAGAAAGAAGCAGGAATATGAAGTAAAGCCAGGATTGTCTGATGAGACTATATGACATATTTGCCTGAGACTCACAGCATTTGAAAGAATTTGGAAAAAGAAAAAGAAAAAGAAAAAAAGAAAGAAAGAAAGAAAGAAAGAACGAACTTCGTATATTTCCCAGAGAACACATTTCCTAGGTGGACAGAATTACGAGATTTGGCAAGGCTAAAAATTATACCACCCTCACATCCCAGCCCCAGGGTCTATCCCATTAAGGTACTCTGTACTCTTGGGCCACAATGCCTGGTAACATATGACTTGAGCCAGGCTAATCAAAAAAGTCCACCTAGGGATAGAAGTGTAACTCCCTGGTAGAGGGCTTGATTAACATCAGGTCCCAGAATTGTAGGGAAAAAAAGAAGAATGTAGGCCAGGTGTGGTACCTGTAATGTCAGCACTCATCAGGCTGAGGCAGGAAAAGCATTCCAAGTTTGAGGACAGTCTGGGCTACAAAGTAAGTTCAAGGTCAGCCTGAACTGCATGGTAAAACCCTGTTTCAAAGAGACATGCACACACACACACACGCACACGCACACACACACACACACACACACACACACAGAGGAAGGTAGCTCCTATAGAAGAGGATGGGATCAATGAAGAAGAAGAGGTGAGGGGGTCAAGAAAGCGGGAAAGCCAATTCCAAAAGTGTCTTTTAGTCCTGGATTTAGCTGTGACTGATGTTATAATCTTCCAAGAATTATGAGACAAGTACTTTTTTTTCTTAACTTTAGTTTAAATTGTATTTCTTTAAATTGTCATTTGTAAATGAATGAATTATAACCAGTACAGACAAGGAAACATGGAAGAGTTTTGGGCACTTGAGATACCCAGGTGAGTATTACCTGAAATTCTATTGTGACTGGTGTTGAGACTCTTTGGCTCATTACAAAATGCTGAGATGGGACCAGGGAGATAGCTCAGCGGTCTAAGCACCTGCCTAGTACGTACAATCACCTGGTTCAATCCCCAGTACCACATGATGTGCTGAAACAGTAGGAAACAGGAGGCTACCTCATTTGCTATGAGCTGTGTAGTGAGACCCTATATCAAATACATAACCTATTTTTAAAAGGTTAAGAGGTGAAGAGGGAAAGGGAGGAGAAGGGAGAGGGGGAAGGGGAGGGGAGGGGAAAAACATTCCAAGGAAACTGCTATTTTTCCTCCTCCCTGCTAGGTACTCATCTTCGCTGTCTCTTTTTGCCTGTCATGCTCAATAGCTTAGAACCTGTCCTGGCAACTGAAGAGAGGAATAAACCCATCACTGCAAGCTGATTCTAGGTCTTGATTTATATAAGAACCTTGCAGAGCACTGCTATTATAAATTTCAGATTCTTCAGTTAGAAAAATACATTAATATTTGGGGGCAGGTAAGGAGATTTTCCTGTGATTTCGACTCATCTCCTATGGCTTGTGGGGAAAAATACCCTGTATGTGGTTAAACAGAAAATAGAATAAAGTTAATACAAGAAGGAAGAGGAGAAGGAGGAGGAGAGGAGGAATAGGAGGGGAAATTATGTGTTAAATCTTATTAGTAAATCCTTATGTAAAATAAATAATATTTGCAGTATCTGTAACTATTATTCTGGCTTGTGTGCTCAAATATCCTTATGTTAACCAAATTATATGTGTGTGTGTAATATATCCTATTATATATTTTGGTTATATATATAACCAAATTACATATAACCTATTCTTATGAATAATTCTAAAAAAAAAGAGAATTCTATGCACATTGCATTCTGTGCCAGTGATACACCACAAAGCTTAGAATTCATTGCCACCATGAACCAATTATCTTCAAACAGTAATTTTAATCCTAAAATGGGCAAATTCAGTCATTGGCCAGGCATGGTAGTTTGGGTTTTTTTTTAGTAAAACATAGACCATTTTACTCTTAGATCTTGTTGTGTAAGTTTACCAAGAGCATTTCAATATTGTAAGCAAACCTTCTTGCTGTAGGTCGGGCATGGTAGTCTTAACAATGATGAGCATGCAAAATGGCCAGAGCCCCCATAAGCAGAACTGTGAGGGAATGACCTTGCCTAGAGGTCAAATAGACAATGCACATCTGGCAGGGACTTGTGTGCTCACCTTCCTAATGAGCAGAGGAAACAAAAGTAAGACTCTGGGGCATATCAAGGGCCTGCTGCACAACGTGCATAAAGGCCAAACTTTGGCACTAGGTTTTTGCAAAAAGTTTTGCAAAGCCAACCTGTAAGGAGGCTAGGAGCTGAAAGAAAAGACCTCAAGTATACCAACTGATTGTTAGGGAACTTACAAGACAGAAGGGGGAGAAGAGGGAGAAGTTGACTGGATGGTTAAGAAGGGAAGATTTAATGTTCTTTTGCTCAGGCATAGGCAGTCATCATGTTGGAGCTGGGGAGATGGCTCAATAGAGTAAGCGCTTGCCTTGCAAGCGCAAGGGCCTGGGTTCAATCCCCGGTTCCGCAAAAAAAAAAAAGGCAGTCATCGTGTCTCTTCACAGGTTGCATATTTCTTTTCAAGGGGCAGTTACTATATTCTGCATGGGAGATTTTAAGTTGCGCCAGCCAAATGTCACTGACTAGATGGACTCCATTCTTCTGTGCATGTCCATTCTTGAAAATCTGGCTTCAAACCTCCCTTGAGTGGACTTGAGAGATTTCCTAAGTCCAGGTGAACCCAGGACTTTGCCTTCTCTGTTCTGTGCTCTTACTACTTTCAGGAGAGGGACTTCTTGTTTTTATGGGCAAGGGGGTACTCTTCCAGTGTTGGAGATCAAACCCCACGCTTTTTGTATGGCAAGCAAGAGCTCTACCAACAACCAAGAGAGGGAGCTACCGATCCGATTAGTCAGAGCCCACACCATAGCGGGCAGCCTCTTTTTTTACTCCCACACCACTTCCAACACCAAATATGTGGCTCTCTTCTGTCACATCCTCTGTGGACATCAGCTGGGTTGCCTACCATTCAGTTCTGATGCTGTCTGCCTAGAGATAGCCTCAGAGCTCAGCTGCACAAGACCGTTCACATTAAGACACCAATGACAAATCTAGGCTCCCTCCATTGCTGACTCACTGTTGTAAACTGGGGATTTCTATAATCGCCTCATAGGGTTCAATTTGCTAGAATGGATCAGGGAATTTGGGGAATCACTTTAATTATGTTCACTGTGGTTCAGAGACAGGGTCTCATTATGCGGTTCAGGCTGGCCCTGAACTCACTTTGTAGTCTATACTGGCCTCCAACTCCTGCCTTAGCCTCTGGAATGCTAGGATTATAGGTGTGCATCACCCCATCCAGCTTGTTTACTTTTTTTTTTTTTTTTTAACGAAAGATTCAGTTCAGGAAAGAAGAGGTACATGGGACAAGGTACAGGTGAGAAACATGGACCATCCAGCCTCCCCAGAAATGTACTACTCCCCAGCTCCGGAGTGTATTCCCCAACCCAGAAACTCTCTGGACACTGTCCATTAGGGGTTTTAAGGAGGCTTTATTCAACAGGCATGATTGACTGCATCACTGGCTATTGGTCACCAACTCCATCTTTAGCCCTCTCCTGTCCCAGCAGTGGAGCTGAATAGAAAGTTCAGACCCTCTCATCCTGTGGCTCCTCTGGTAACTGTCTCTCCTAAGAGCATTTTTTTTTTTTTTTCAGAACCAGAGATTGAACTCAGGCCCTTGCACTTTCCAGGCAAGCATGTATTCTACTGAGCCATCTCCCTGGCTCCTTCTCCTAAGAGCTTTCTGAAAGTCACTTCACTAACACAAACTCAGGTGTGGTTGAAGGGGTCTTCTTATGAATAAGAAAAGATACTCTTTTCACCTCTTGTACTCCTGAGTTGCTTCCAGAACTGGAGACAAAATCCAAATGTTACAACTAAAAGTACTCCTATCACTTAGGAAATTACAAGGACCTTAGGAAATATAGCCAGGACCTGGAGATGTGGTGGGGGTGGGGAACAGAGAGAAAGAGGAAGAGAGAGAGAGAGAGAGAGAGAGAGAGAGAGAGAGAGAGAGAGAGAGAGAGATACTATCATACCAGAACATTAGTTTACATTTTATATGATTGGAGTCACCAGAATATTAGTTTACATTTTATGTGACTGGAGTCAGTGTGTTGTACGTAGCATTCCCTTTCCTGCTGTATAGGCCCAGCTCAGTCTCCAACACACACCTACATGAGAAAAGTCAGTTTACTGAAGCAGGGATGGTGGTACACAATTGTGGTCTCAGCTATGAAGGGGACAGAGATGGGTGGACTGCTTCGAGACCAGGAGCTCAAGGCAACATACTGAAAACAACCAAAACCCTGCTCCACTTTGAACTGCTGACCAGGTCTTTGTGTGGACCTACCCAAGCATACTAGTCCTACGCTCTCTGGGGCAGAGGTGGTGCTGCAGTTTCACTGCAGCCTTAAGCCTAGCCACGTGATTCAATTCAGTCTTCTGGCAGAACCCCGTTTGAGATTATTGGGTGTGCTAGCTCAGCTATGATTAAAATGATCCTTGGTTCCTCTCCCAATTTCTTTCTTGCTTATAGTTCCCTTGGGAATCCCAAGGATCAGAGTTGATTAATAGAGCAAAACTGGCAATTTCTGGTCTTCAGTTGCAACAAATTGTACTACTGGTCACAACTTCTCGCCCATTTTTGCTGTCCCTCTTAGGGAAAGATTACACTTCTTCAACCCCTTGACAGTGGCCTTGGTCAGATGTATTTGTTCTAGTGAAGGGAAGTGAGCAAGTTCACATGTATTTATTCCAGGTCCAGTATGTGGGTGACCAGGATCACTTTTTTCTCCAGAAGAGTTCAAAACCGTTCTGAAAACAGATGACTCATCAGCCTGGGCCCTGCCATGAAGACACCTTAAGAATAGCCAAGCTGTCCTGCCATTGACATGTATGCTATTTTGAGAAGGAAAATTTCCTGGTTGTAAGCCATCTTGAAAATTACTTGTTACTACAGGTGAACCTAGGTTATCCTGACTGATCTGTTTACCATGCTGTCATCTGTATCAAACATGACTGTTTAGTCTGCCTTCATTCTTTTCCAGTGTTGTGCTGGTATTCACCCACCTCTTGACGCTTAGGGAGGGAAGTCCAATTTCTGCCACACAGGTGATTTTAATAAAGTTAAGCTATTCATGTTTGTTTGTTACTATGGCTAGTATGAAGCTGAAGTTCTCTGAAGAAGCTGAGTCTCTACAGATTCCGCAGACTGATGTCAGCACAGTAGAATACTGTGATTGTGGAGAAATGGAATATTGCACAGTGAAACCAAAATTATCTTGGGCTACATAAGCCTTCTAGAAAAAATAGCCATTTACTTTGAACCTTTGTATTTGACCTAAAATTCTTGTGATTATTAGGTAAATATGTAGGGAAACATTACTAAGCTTGGTAGGCTTTTAGCTTCCATTAACCCTATAGCTAAGAATGCTATAAAATAACAGCTAAAAACTGTAAAAATGGTTTCCCCATTCTGCTGTAGCATCCCTAATGCTCCTGTTTTTGTTAAATGCATTGATTTACAACATTCTCTGTAACTATAAAGGTTTATGTAGCCTCTTCCATCCAGAATGTGTCTTTTAAGCCAAACTGAGACCATATCCATGCTCTGGAGCCATGGACCACTCATATTTGGCTCAGAATAAATTATTTTCTCATCTGCTTTGAAGCAGCATTGTTATACAACATTGGCACTAGTGACAGTGAGACTATGGGAAGTTCACCTCAGGGCTTCTGAGAAAGGTCTTCCTTGCTAAGAGAGGCAAATGGGAATGCTGGGTGTGGCTGCACATGCCTGTAATCCCAGCACTCAAGAGGCAGAAACAGGAGGTCACCCTGGACTACATAAGGGAGTTCAAGGTCTGCCTGCGTGCATGCATGCACATGCACACACACAGACAGACAGACATACACACACACCCCAAGCAAGCAAGTGTGCAAATGAATAAAAAAAGACACATGAAAAGAAAGTCTCTACTTCTGCTGGATGTTGTGTATGTGTCAGCTGGCATTCTGGCAGGCATTCTGTATCATGAGGGCTCTATCCTAAAGATGTAAGACTGAAAAGAGCAAAATTTGTTCTTATTTCTTCATGGTACTGGAGATTGAACAAGGGTCCTAGGCAAGTGCTCTACCACTGAGCCACATGCCCAGCCTTATCTATTTATTTCAGATGGACCTTACCAAGTTGCCCAGTTTGACCTCAAATTGTGATTTTCCTGCCTCAGTCTGCCAAGTATTTGGTAGTACAGATATGCACTACCTTAACTGGTGAAAAAAAAAATCTAGGTTCTTAATAATGTAATTGAGGTCTTAAATAATTAACTCTAAAGCTGATTAGTCCCCGGTTTTCTTGTTATGTGGAATAATACATTTTCCTAATTATTTAACACAGTTGAATCTGGAAGGGAAAAGAATGAGTCTAGCTTTAGGGGCACTGAGGAGATGACAGAATGGCATGCTTTCCTATTGCTCAGGAGACATCAGGGTTGAACTCGGATTTGGGAGTCATCTTTGGAGAAATTATGTAAAGTAATATGTTGGTCTATGCCGGCATAGTATAACAAAAGTCCTGAGATAACTTGTAAGAAAAAGGTTTATTTGGCTGTTTTGAAGGTTTCAGTCGATGGCCAGGTGGCCTATCACTTTTCAGACCATGGTGAAGCTGTACATCAGCGTAGAAGCACGTGGGAGAAGCATAGAAAGAGGACAAAGCTAGGGTCCTTATGTCCCCACAGTCAGTGATACAATGTCTGCCCATTAAGTTCTGTATCTTAAAGGTTCCTCTGCCTCTCAACAGTGCCACAACAGGCTAGGATCAGCAACCTAGCCTTAACCATGGCCCACTGCAAGACACTTTCCCAAACCATAGCATAATTTATCTTAGAAAATGATCCCATACCTGGGAGAGATACCTTTATCCTTGAGGAATTTTGATGATATAAGAAAACATTACAGGGGCCGGGGAGATGGCTCAGTAGGATAAGCGCTTGACTGGCAAACGCAAGGATCTGAGTTCAATCCCTGGTTCCGCAAAAAAAAAAAAAAAAAAGAAAAGAAAACATTACACACATACAAGAGTAGTCATTTCCTAAATGGATATGCTTGTCTTACCTGTGGACAGATCCTAGAAAAGGGGTTCGGAAAGGTGATAGAAACTGCCTAGTGGGAAGAGCAAAAATAGTTAAGGCAGTGGTTACAATATCTGCATCCTTAGACACTCATCAAATCTTGAGAAAACTTAAGGAAGTTGGTTGCCATTTGCATATGACTTAAAACATTCTAATGAGTGGGGACAGCTCTGAAAATGGATAAGCAACTTGTAAATCTACTGACTCACATACACCTCTTAGCATTGTCCTTCCAGTGAACTCTGCTTATCACTTTACATTAGATGGGACTGTGCCAACTTTGGCAGCACACCTTACACCCGATGGACAATGGAGCAAATAAATTGAAGTGTTTTAAAGAAGTCACACCTATACTAAAGATCCTGCAGACTGTTTAACCTTGGCTGAGAAATTTTCTTGGACTATCTCAGTCCTTTCAATGGCCATTTATGGGCTGGGGAGATAGCTCAGTAGAATAAGCACTTGCCTGGCAAGTAGAAGGTCCTGAGGTCAATACCCGGTACCGCAAAATAAACTAAATAAATATAGAAACTCAATGGCCATTAATTTGCAACACCAGTATCTGGCAAAACTCTTGGAATATACTTCTAAGCTTATGACCTGCAGCTTCCATCAACCCTGATGTTAAGAAAGCTGTAAGATAACAACTAAAATTTATAGAGGCCCAGGGAGAAAGCATAGGGCTAGGGAGATAGCTTAATAGAATAAGTGCTTGCCTGGCAAGCACAAGGTTCTGAGTTCAATCCCCAGTACTGCAAAAATAAATAATAAAATATATAGAAAAGACTTTACAGCTCTGCTGTGGCCTGTCAAACTAAAGTCCTACCAAAATATTTACTGAATGTAATGCTTTATGACTTTCTTTGTTCTGTGGCTATAAAAGCTCATGCAACCTCATTCATAGTGGAGCATATCATTTGAATCCATGCAGTGAGGCAATGGTCATTCCTATTTGGTCCAGAATAAACAGTTATCTTATTTCCCTTAAAGCAGAGTCATTATTTTATGTTGATTCTTCTTGGACCCTATATGTGTAGCATTCTTTTCAAAAAGGCATGGGACAGGACCTCTTCTGCAATGAGGGTCGTGAGAGCTATTATCAAAAGGCAAGCCTAGGGGCCGGGGAGATAGCTCAGTAGGATAAGTGCTTGACTGGCAAACACAAGGATCTGAGTTCCATCCCCGGTTCCACCAAAAAATAAATAAATAAATAAATAAATTCTGCAAAAGGCAAGCCAAAGACTTTCTTCAGGACCCTCTCCTACAGGAAGGAGGAAGAAAGTTAGATTAATATTTCTAGGCTTTAAAACTGATTTCAGGAAAGAAGAGTTCTAGTTTCTATAACTTGACTTGGGGAAGACGTTAAATGGTTTCTATGGCATCTAGGGGAATAAGAGGAAAAAAATGGAAGCAGAATGTCTGAAAGAGATTCTGTTTCAGAGGGCTGCTTTCAAAGCACTCAGTATGTCACAGCATCAGACTTTGGAGTATTTTTTCTGAGCTCCATCAATACCCTATGGTGATTCTGTGGAAGCTTTGCAGGAAACATTAAACAAAATAGATCCCATGAACACAAAGGGAAAAAGTCAAAATCCAAGTGGATTTGAGATTTAGATGCTGAAAATTACTATCCTATAAGTCACTAGATTACTGTTACTTTGAGAAAATACACAGAGGGGCTGCAAGGAGGTGCATTTTGGAAGACAAAGGCTGCTCAAAAAAGGGGTTTTTTTTGAAATGTCATTTATAGAGAACTTTTCCAAAAGTATACCTTCAATGCACAATGCATACACCCATATGTTTACTGTGGAGCTTGTATCTTCCCTGAGACGTCTTACCTCTTGGCCAATTCTCATTGCTGGGCCTACCTTAAAAAAGAAGAGAGAAACACATTGTAATGAGTTGCAAGAGCAAATGCAATCTCTAAAAGTGGCAAATTTCAGTCCTACAATTACTTGGAAAGGAAAGGCTGGCTTTAAGCACAGTTTGCAGGCAGGATTTGCAGCTGGCAAGGACCAAGGATGAGCCTAGACTGCGATGACTCAGTCGTAAGGGCTGGAGAAAGGAGAGGGGCGGGGCGTGAGGGGAGAGACACAGCGTGGTCCTGCGAACCAAAAGGTCTTAAATTGTGTTTAGGGCACGGAGGTTGGGAAGGCCCAGAGCTGGTGCAAGCCAGGAGGGGGTGTCCAGAGTAAGACATTCTGAGACCCCGAAAAATGCACCTTTTGAACCGAAGGCTGCTAAAACTCAACTTCGCTTACCTCGCACCCCGCCTTTAGGCCAATTCGGGCGCGAAATCTCCCTAAGGGTCCGACCGGGGACCGCGCCGGGTGACCTTCGTGAAGCCTAGGAGTCTCCTCTGGGAAGGCCTCGCGGGCCTCCCCCGGGCTCCGTACGCAGCTGCCAGCGCCCCCCGCTCCGAGCGCTCAGGACGCCGCGTCAGCCGCCCCGACTCCCTCGCCGCCGCCCGCCGCCGCCCGCCATCGCC